AGCTAGTAGGAAGCCATGTATCTCAGTGACACTACCACAATATCAGTAAGTGATCATGGATTGTATGATTGGACTAGCTCATAACATAAGAAGCGTAAAGACTATTCAAGAGGATTCAGCATAATACAATAAGCGTAGAGAATATCCAAACAGATTCCACAGATTCAATATAACGTGACTGCTCAAAAAGCCTAGAAATTCGTGCCTGGGGAAAACGATTTCAAAAATATTGTACATTATGGCATATTTCTGCAATATATTAACATATATTTTCTACAGAATTTACTGACATGCAAAATAATCATATATCACCGTGTATCTTACTTTTTGTCATCACACAAGTTAGTTTTGGTAACATGCAATGTGAATTAATGTAACAACATGAAATAACTCAGAAAAAAAAACACGAATCGTTTGCAGATGTGACATCTTACTTGCAGGTTGCTAATTGATTTTGACAACGAATAGGATTATCAAATTGTTGTGCAACTTAAAAACTGAGGTCCGAGGTAGGCGTTAATTGACACGATAAAGATTCCTCACTGCCCAATAGCCCAGTGCCGAGTAAAGGTCTAAATTTGAAGCCCTTCACCGGTATAAGGTGACGTCTCTGTTCTCGAGTGGGAAGTAAAACAACATACAATCAATCAAAAACGTTCGTATCATATGTCCCAAATGATCGAAACTAAAGGATATTTTTGTAGCCAATAAGGATGAATTTTATTTTAAATGGATATTTTTTTCTCCAATTGCATTTCAATCTGCATGTTCATAAATTTGTTTAAAATACCGCTGTTACCATTGAAAAAAAAAATGGATCAATTTCCAAAAATCGAAATTTTGCAAAAATTTAAGAGCGTATGTGCTCTCTTTTTTCAAATCCAATAGGACACCGCTGTCGATATCAATGTGCTTCGTATATTTTTTGTTTTTGGATAAAATACCGAGCTGGTAGAGGGCAAACAAATTGCATTGTAAATCTCTAAATGTGACTTATTTTCTCCTATAGGTGAATTATTTTGAAATTTCGAATACATGTGCATTCTTAATCATTTGTAATTGCAAATTAATCATTTGTAATTAGAAATTGATAATTTTTAATTTTAAAAAAAATTAGAAAATGCACAGGTGCAGCCCTTATGAGCTTCCGTAATTTAATCATAGACCACTAGCTTTGTTGTCAATGAAATATTGATTGGGGAAAAAATTAAAATATACAGTCATATTCGTATACAGTAGAAAATAACTAACGAATATTTATTTTGATTTTTTTAATTGCATTTTTGAAGCATTTTTTTTTATTTGCAATTTTAAGATCAACCCTCAAATTTGGCTAAAACATTTTCCTAGTTAAAGCACCGATCTTAATATGAATTTTGACATAGAAGTCCTTCAGGACAGGCTTGCCCGTGGATAAAATTTTGATATTTTGATAGGATGGGATCTAAAGAATAATTCAAAATATGATTATTTTAGGGGCATACCTGCACTAGGGTGGAAAATCACAATAAACCTACAAACAAAATAATGGAAACCTTGTTTTGACAACTGGTTTACATTTATACTAGTGTATACCCATATATATATATATATATATATATATATATATATATATATATATATATATATATATATATATATATATATATATATATATATATGTTAGAACGCTGGTTATTGAAGCCGAAGTTACTTTTACGTTAAAATAATTATTAAAGAGAAGGCAAATGGTAAATTCAATGTAACTAGTCCAAAGGCAATTAAATACCTTATTGTACAACATGCTTTCTTCGAGGACAAGACTTATCAAGTTCACTCTTTGTAACTCGAAACAGGTATTCTTGTCTGCAATGACCTGCGATGAATTTCTGCAGTATAGAATAGAATAGAATAGGATTTATTACCAAATCAGGGCTCAATGGGCATAAACATATAACATGTATAATTACAGATAAGATAACAGACAGAATACAACATATAATGAAGAGCAATTCTTCCCATTTAGTACATTGGTGGTGTTTTGAGTTTCACATGTAGACATAGGTTGTCTTGATTTAAGATATATCTGTACTCTTAATTGATACAACTTAATGTGCAATGATGTGCATTACTATTACTAATAGCAGTGGCGGATCCAGAAGTCCATGTGGGGGGGTTTTGAGGGCCGTAGGGCCGAAGGGGGAGGGCATGGGAGGGGGTGTCCCCCTCCCATAGGTGGGGGTTGGGAAATTTTCTTTAAAAATGGCTCCAAATGGTGCATTTTCCAGCATTTTAGATTGAATTAGTTAGTTTTGGCCACTTTTTTTTCTAGTTGTTTTTCAAGACCAACCTACCCAAATTTTCAAGAAATTGAACAAAAAAAAAAATAAAAAATAAAAATAAAATAAAATAAAATAAAATAAAATAAAATAAAATAAAAAAAAAATAAAATAAAATAAAAAAAATAGAATAAATTTTGGGATTATTTTTAACTTCCATGTTAACTTGAAAAATGAGACTTTTCTAAAGAAAAAATTAAATTTAAATCTGATAAAATTAGAAATATCGCCATTTGATATATAATATCCAATTCTTCATTTTAAAATGCACGTCCAACACGCTTTATCTACCAAAATACAACTGCATGATGTGCAATTTTCCAACACTTACAAAATTCGAATTCTGTGTAGAAACCCTAATTACTTCTTTCAACTACTTGACTATACTGTTCATATAATTTGCAGTATATAAACAAATACACCAGGTGACTCTCGATCTCTCGAAGTTCAAGGGACCGTGAGAAAAGTTCGAGAGATCGAGGGGTTCGAGAGATAGAAAGTGAATAAAATCCGGAATTTTCAGTTCCGATCATCATTGTTCAACTATTATAAATACCGGAAGTATATGTTGATAATATCATTGCACATTTTCATTCGTATTTTATAGGTAATTCACTTGATTTCAACAACAATGATCGTATTTTGAATAAATAAAACGATCTCTTTAAGTTTCAATATTTATTTGTTCTCATTTCATGATTACATAAAACCTGAATAGCAATCGTCGGTGTGGCTACCCCCAGGGCTTAATCGGGTCCTTTACCAGATTTCTCGTATTAAATCGGTATTTAATTCTTCTTGTGCAATGTTTGTCATGCTGGGATTATGTACACTCTAATAAAACTTCATAATCTATGGAAAATTATTGACACGCCTCTTAAATTATTTTCTAAAAATTTTCGTCTCGCCGTCCAGTCAAAATAAGTTGTGAAGCAATTCGTTTATAATTTACCAATTATAACCAATTACTAATTTATATCAACACTCGGAAGCTCACAGGTATGGTGTCATCTATGTAAACACCCAATTAACACCTCCACGCCAGCCCCAGGCGTTCACTGTTATCCAGGTAAGTCCAAGCTGCATTAATTTTACGCTTGATTGGCGTGTACACACGCGCAATCAAAACTTCGAGAGATAGAGAGTAAAAAACAATGAAATATGTGTAACGGGACCCAGGTCTTGGTTCGAGAGATAGAGAACTTCGAGAGATTGGAAGTTCGAGAGATCGGAAGTAAATTTGCTTAGTTATATAGAGGGAAAAAACGGGACCGGAGGTTCACTTCGAGAGATCGAGAACTTCGAGAGATCGGAGTTCGAGCCATCGAGAGTCACCTGTAATGATATTTCATATTGAAGAATGAATATAAATTATTTTTGGAAATTGTTGGAATTATTGCTTATTCATTGGGGGGAGGGGTAATTATAATTTCTAACATAAATGCACTCTTTAATTCTTCTTTTTTTTTTACCCACTTAACTGTTTTGAAAAAAAGTCTTGAAAAACATCAATAAAAAAGTGACCAATTCTTGTTTTTGACAGGACCTCTAATTTATACGTATCAGTTTTACCACAATTCATTATACAAAGTTGTAACCATTATTTGGGTTTTATTCAACATCATTCAACTGTAATTAAAAAAAATGCTTTTTAAAATTGCATTAATTGTAACTTCCATCAACAAAAGGAATACTTTTAATGTGCTTTTTGGTACAGGTCACAACGTAAACAACTAGACAGTATACGTCCCTGATGTATTAATTAATTTTTTTTATATTATACATATAACTAAACACATAAAAAATGTCTGATACATCAACAAGAGGCAGCAAGAGTCGGTGCTAAAGGATATACAGAAATCCACTTCTGCCTCATGTAGAATAAACAGATACATAATCTATGGAAAAGAGTATTAAAAAAAATTAATAATAATAACAATAATATAATAGTAATAATAATATTTTTTTTTTTTTTAAATTGTATGTTGAATGGCATGTGTAAATTATATTAAACTGCAATGGACAGCAAGAGTATATATTTCTGATTAATTGGATACTTTAGAATGTTTGTATATTTGTTTAATGCAGGCCCGTAGTAGCAACTGTTTCAAAAGGGGAGGGAGGTCAATACTCCCCTCCTACTAGGGTCTTGTCTTTCGGATTGTTAATTGTAAAATAAATTGACAAAATTTTAAGTCCACTTTAAATACACTTTAAAAGTTGTTACAATAAAGATTCTGACACTTTCAGACAAGAAATGTGATGTTTTTGTTTTTTTTTAAAAAAAGAAAAGGTACCACTGCTAACGTTATATGCATAAACTTAATGTTTATAGGTCTGGTACATTTTTTAAAAATGGTATTTCTTGTCTGAAAGTGTCAGAATCTTTATTAACAACTTTTTAAGTGTATTGAAAGTAGAATTCAAAATTTCATTAATTTGTTTTACATTTAACAATCCGGAAGACAAACCCCAATGGCGTCAATATTTGTCTAAAGGTTTTAAACAGTGGGGCTACATAATTATTATTAACTGCGCTCCCTAAGATTTCATTTACATGTGGACTGAAATCCATTTTAAACGAGCTGAGACTTTGCAGTTACTTATTTAGTCATAGATCAGAACGAGTGTCAACGTAAGAATACGAATAGGCAGAGTACGACTTGTTGGTAAGATCGAACACCGGAAGTAATGACGTAGAAAGGCAAGAAAAAGAAAAAACAAATTGTCACGCCTTTCCTTTCTCAAAAATGGTAAAATATTAATTATATGGGGGAAAATATAACGTAATGCTCTCTCTTTTTCAAAGCACATTCAACAAATCGACACTTAATATTTCTCGTGAACATATTCAGTTTCATAATTTATGGTATTATTATGCATGATGTTTTACATGTTTTTAGTCAGGTCTTAGTACAATCACTACATTTAACTTCATAGCTTAATTGAATTACCAGCGTAGCTTTATTTAGCTATTTGAAGTATCTTTACTTAGCTATTTCACTGCAAGTTTTCACAATTTTGCTTTTTATTTTAAATAGACAAAAAAATTGCAAGTATGTGACTTATTCTATTATTTTTTACTATGGAGTTTTAAAAAGCAACACAGAGCAAAGATATTCTCTATTGAGAAGTTGATGGCTCGTTTTAATACTCCCCCTCAACTTCTTTACGAAAGGCCTAATAAAAGCAGTTCAGAAATTGACTAAATGAAGAACGTTCAATGTTTTAGGATTGATGTGATATCATAGACGTAGTCTGGATGCACATATGATATTCTGCCATAGAAATACAAATAAAATACCAATACTGCTGACTTAAAACATGTTTTAATGATAGAACACTTATTTGCGATATATGTATCGCCGGATTCGTTTATTCAATCAAAACTGCATTTGAACCCGGGTTGACCTCTAAAAAAAAGTCTAAAACTATTCTTCGGATTACTATTCAACACTGGAACATTTAATCCAATTTATCTGGAGAAAAAGTTTAGACTTTTTTTTAGAGGTCAACTGGGTTCAAACGCAGTTTTGAATGAATAAACGAATCCGGTGACACAGATATCGTACTAAGTATGTGTTCTACCGTGATAAATGTTTTTAAGTCAGCAGAATGGGTATTTTTAATCGCATTTCCATTGCAAAACAACATCTGTGCACCCAAAATATGTCTATGATAATGCATCAATCCTAATACGTCAATCAAAGTGGGACCCGTTTTGGTTCTTTATTTAGTCAATCTCTGAACTGCTTTTATTAGGCCTTTCGTAGAGAAGTTGAGGGGGAGTATTAAAACGAGCCATCAACTTCTCAATGCAGAATAAGAGCAAAGATAGTTTAAACATTGCTGCTCTTAAATACATTTAAGCAGAAGATGCATTTCCATTGTTTGAGTAACTGTACACCAACTTGTGTGCGGTGACCGTGAGGTATGGATAAGTATGATTACTTCACATTTTGCACATTGTGCTGAATTATTACAAATCAAGTATCATATGTAAACCAGGACTGATCCTCCTTGTTATTTCATTAAAATAGTAACTGTTTGGTTGCAAACTGACTGTTGTACATAGCCCAAAAACTCTTGGAACTTTGCAATTGAACTGAAGGAGACACATCTTCAAGGGTGATTTTTCACGAATTGTTTTCAGATCAGTTCAAAGTTGAAAATTATTACTGCATCAAAATGTGCTTTTTTATACATCCTGGAAAAAAATGCTCATTTAAGAAAAAAATCTTAAAGCTATTTCAGGTACCGGTAGATAAGTAAAGCTATATATGTAGGTAATTCAAGCTATGTAGCTTAATTTATTGATTGTAATGGACCTGTTAGTTCCTTTCAGTTGTTCCCAGCATAGGCACTCCCCAGCTTAATTGTAAAAAAAATATATATATCTACTATACTATAAACATAACAAGGCATGAAACTAGCCTCCATGTTGGATTCCTCTTAGGGGCACTTTCTGACTAATAGCGAGAATTTCTCGCCCAAGTCGGAGTTTTCTCAGACATCGGAAGCTGTCATTTATTGAAATATAATCAAATCAGGTTGAATCTTGCAGTACGCTCGTCGCATTCACACGTTTTCTAACATTTCTCTGCAAACCAAGTCTCCTCGGCCGGAACTTAAAGGTTTATGGGGGTATAGATAATTCGATCTTCGTTCACCTTCAAAGTGCATCTCATTGAAAGCTAACGTTGTTTTTCATAACGAACGAATGTACCGTGAAATAAATATAATTTTACATTAATAGGACCTTGCAAGATTTTATATACATTTTCAGGCCCATAAAAAGCTGTTTCAGTGTGTGTTTGTGTGTGTGATTGGGGGGGGGGGGGGTCAACCGTGACTGAACAACAATTCTTTGACAAGAAAAAAATATTATTGAATGAGGAGAATCGTAAGTTAGGTTTGTTTTCTATTGCATAGTATTAGTATTTTCATGCATTGGCAAAATTATAGGGGCGAAAGGAGGGGGCACATTTAAGCAGATGAGTCTATATACATACAGTCTTTAAGACAGTGGCAGATTTATCGTGGGGGGTCGCCCTCTTTCAAATTTTTAAGAAAAAAAGAAAAGGGGGAAAATATTTAATACAAAAGAAATTCTTGATAAAACGTATGCTTTAATACTTATTTTTACTACAAGTATTATGAGTTTTTATTACCACTTAATCTTTTTGACACCCCCCTTGATATCACGGATTCGTCTCTGGAAAGTGTGTTACTTACATACATGTAAAGTATAAAGTATTACTTTTATTGCAAAATAAATAAATATACAAGTACATGTATATTTTAGCCTGATAGCGCGACTTATTTATTATAGATGGATTCATACAGATATACGATAATAAAATGGGACAGTTCTAAAGTTTAATAACAAGTTCAAAATTTTCACTAAAATATTATATAATGGCTTGGATGTTTTAAATATGTTGTAAGGGTAATTATTTCTAAACATTTATTTGGCATCTTCACATCGTTAATATTTACAAAGCTAAAACTAACTTCATCAGCTCACTCTTTGTCGATTTTATTACAGTGTTCCATTGAAAATGATAGGACGCACGGCATTAGTTTTGACTGAAAACCAGCTTCAGTCCAGTTAACAAATCCAAAGCAAGGCAGCTAGATTAAGAGTCATTTAATAGACTAGTTTACTATGTATATGTCCTTACAATGAAGTTCCTGGACCCCACCCGCGCTGATTTCACGGCGACAACCACATATAAACACAAACATATACACAAAATGCTAAACTATTAATTTCTTCATGTGCAAGATTATAAAGTGTGAATTTGCACATGAAAACTGCAATAAAGGATTCAAATCGTAATTCTGAGGGGACAACTATTTGATTCTGATAGGTGCTGGCAGATTTTGGAGGGAAAAAAAATCTGTCCTTGAAAATGTTGAGAAAAAAAATCTATTTTTCACTAGGAAGAAAATAAATTACTTGACTTTGAGTAATGGTAACGGTCACCATAACCCCCCCTCCCCCTCCCATCGCTCCCTGCAAACTCTAATTTTCTCATTTTTTCGTTATTTTTTCCTACCCACTTTTTTGGGTGTAGTAGAAATAAAAAAGAAACTTTGAATTTCCTAATCATCTTAGAAATAGATAAACTGCCCTTCAATGGCATAAAAATAAACATTTTGCTTCGAAAAAAAGCCAGCCCCCTACCCTTTATTTCGTCCTCTAAATTATATTATTCTGTTTTGGTGTCTCTGTACCACCATTGAATTTTCAAAAAGAAAAGCTAAGTCTTTTCCCTATGTGTAGTTCCTTTTCTTCCAATACATTTCACAATTTTCGTACAGAACTTACTTCTGCAAATATCCGCTTTATTTTATACTATTTATTTACTATACATTTACACCCCCCCCCCCCCCCCCCCCCCCCCCGCGGTCAAATCCACCTCTGTATTGAAGACTCATCTGCTTAAACGTGCCCCCCCCCCTCCTTAAACTAGTTTAAACCCAGAACCGGTTTTCTATTTGCTTCTGCTGTAACTGAAACCAGTTCGTTAAACCAACCAAACCACCTCCGATGGTGGTTTGTTCAGTTTACGAAAGAGCGGGAAGTATTCCAGTATGGCGGTGATGAAAGGTGTCGACTATTTTAATAAAGAAAAAAGTTATAAATGATTGTTTTTTCGAGGACAAACAACTCTTTTTGACTTTAATGCCACATTCTGATGTTTTATAGAAGGCTTCAGAGAATAGATAAATGCTGCATATTGTAATGGTGTTTGTTCAATGATAATGAACAGAAAATGTTAAATTTTCCTTTTCAAAAATAAGTTTTGAATCATTTGGACAAACTTTAACATGTATGGTAAATTGTAGAACTTACTGTAAAGACGGTTTTATTGTTGGAAATCTAAAGAGTAGTACATGTATCATAAATACCTGAGTTTTTATATTTCCATGTGTTAAAAATGTGGAAATTGATCATTTGATGAATCTTTGAGGCATTATAAATATAAATACTACATTTTAAGTAAGATAAACAAGGAAGAAAAAACTATAATTTCTTGGAATCTTTTATAAAGAAAAAGATTTTAACTTTATTTGCATGTGTAATTTGGTTAATATGTTCTAGCTCTTCATATTAAGGTTCCTACATTGTAAATGCACATGAAAAACGTCATAAAATTCTTGCTGTTCTACCTCTTTTATTCATCAGCAGCATTATTTCCGCTTTAAATTTCCAATTAACATGATTAATATTAATATAATTAATCATGCATGCATCTTTTAGATGCCATCTTGTATAAACTGTTCATTTGTTTTACCAAGGTAAACCGGATCGAAACTTATAACCAGTTTAAAAACTAGTTTTAAACCTTAAACCAAAACCTGAACTAGTTTAGATGCAACAAATTCGCCCTTGGTTTGCAGAGAAATGTTAGAAAACATGTGAATGCGACGAGCGTACTGCAAGATTCAACCTGATTTGATTATATTTCAATAAATGACAGCTTCCGATGTCTGAGAAAAGTCCGACTTGGGCGAGAAATTCTCGCTATTAGTCAGAAAGTGCCCCTAAGCGGAATCCAACATGGAGGCTAGTTTCATGCCTTGTTATGTTTATAGTATAGTAGATATATATTTTTTTTTTACAATTAAGCTGGGGAGTGCCTATGAGCTAAAACCACTACACAGAATATACAGTTGTTTCATTTAGTGCTGTTCCAACCATCAATTATAATCGAAAATCAGTCGATTGCTGGCATAATCCAAGTACTCAATTGCAAAATTTTTATTACAATTAATCTTTTTTTTTCCCCAAGCGTAATAGTTTTTAAGCTGAATATTCCAGTTGTGACTTATCTATTAACTTATTTGTGATTTGTAATGGTGGAGATGAACAGACAATATTGTATCCATACCCGGGTAACAATTAAAGCACATTCCTGGGACGTAAGTTTTATATCTGTACAGTGTATGAAGAAAAATTAAGGAAAAACATACACACTCAATAAAACACTCAGATGATATTCGTTATTCTTTTTCAGCCAAATAAACAGCAAATACATATGCAGAAAGTTTTCCATTTACCCATTTAATTAACTAAATTGATAGACTTTGTAAATGTCCGATTATAATCGATAATTAGTTAATTACAGTAACCCAATTATCAATTATGAAATTCTTACCAGTTCCCTTCACTAACTTTATGTACTTTTACACAACTACATGTAATTATGTGTTTTATTTTACATTACAGATGCAGTTTATGTTACTGTTTAGTCGACAGGGAAAGCTGAGACTGCAGAAATGGTATACTGCTCACCCAGATAAAGTGAAAAAGAAAATCACTAGAGAATTGGTGGCCATGGTTTTGTCTCGCAAACCTAAAATGTGTAGCTTCTTGGAGTGGAAAGATCTCAAAATTGTGTACAAAAGGTATATATGATAATGCAATGATCAGGGTTATCCACAAGAGGTTTTACCATGGCGACCCGCCATGGTTAAATTTATGTGCATCATTGTTAAATGAGCTGTGCATGGTCAAAATCTGCAGCCACATTTCAGTTTTGACAACTACTATCTAGTAACGCCAAAAAAAAAGTGTATGTTTCTAGTAACATGCCAAAAAAATTCGGGTAGTTACTAGTTAGGTAGGCAAAATTCTTTTTTTACTTTACTTCATATTTTGAAAGCATCAGGTAATTATTCATTATTCGATGCAGTCTTTTCGTCATACATACATAAACATATATGAATAAATATAAACAACAAGTGTACTCTTTAAAGCACATGGATAGACATATTTTTACAGTGCCTGAGACATACATTTTCTTGCACTGTGAGAAAACTGTACTAGTTAACAAAAGTACAGTTCAAAATCCAAATTTTGAATGAAAACTAGTACGGTAGGTGTGTAAAATAACGGTTGGTCAGGATACTGGAAATGCACAGATTTCTTTTTTTTAAGTGTATACAACTTAAGTAATTGTGTCTTTCACCTTGTCCAGATATATAGAAATTTTTTCTGTACTACAAGTAGTTTTGGGGATTCTTACGTGTTCACTATTAATGAAAGAGATAGAAAAATGAAAGACTCTATGTACTGTAACAATATCTACAAGCATCTGAGCCAAGTGTCAGTCTTTAGACAGTTCAGCAGTCTATGGCAGAGAATTTAAGTTTGAGATTCTTGTTCCTGTCTACCATTTTCAAATTGTCCTACCCCTTTGTTTTAATAAAAGAAAATACAAACATCAGTCACCAATATAAGTTTTAGAGTTATGAGCATGAAATATGGTGTGGAGCTATTTTTAACGTTGTAAATTGAATGTAATGTAGGAAAAAATCATAAGCTTTTAAAAAAAAAAAGAGAGAACAAAAAACAGTTATACCAGATGAATGGGTATAGTAATACTAAGTTTTGATGCCATCAATAAGTTTTCAAAGACCATGCAATTGCAGTAAAAAGCTTAGGCAATGCTAAGATGTCTTTCATCCTTCCATTCTGTCTGTCTGTTTCTGTAAACATTTTATCGTTTCAGTAAAACTTAGTGTATGCAAACAGGCAACATTGATTCTGAGTTTCATTTTTTAAATCAATGAACATTGTTGCAATTGTTACCAACAACTTATTTTTAATCTGAGAATTTTTTTTTATAACGCTGTTCCTCCTGCAGTTTGGTCCCATTTCTATAAAACTTGGTACACTTGTATACACTAAGATACTATGGACATCTCAGTAATTGGTGTTGCCATGGTAAATAAAAAGAAAAACAATAAAATCATCACCGATGAAGTGAAATCTAGATCATCAGGTCAAGCAAGCATTTGTGCTCTCACATTCTGCTTTGCAAAATCCTCTGTGGTTATATTTTCAGATGTGGAGAACCTTTTATGATTGTTACATACTTGGTGGTGTAAATTCTGCATTTAAGGATAAGAGCATCCTAATATTTATTCATGTAGACTTATAATGAATTCAGAAAATTTATTTGCATGACTAATATAAAACAGAAAAATGTGTTTTTGTAAATATCTTTGGTATAAGAATTTAACTAATGATCTTGGAAAAGAAATTGAAACAAATGGCAACTTAATCATGTTAATGTCTCCTACAGATATGCTAGCCTGTACTTTTGCTGTGCAATAGAGGCAGAAGACAATGAACTCCTAACCTTAGAAATCATACACAGATATGTAGAGCTATTGGATAAGTATTTTGGAAGTGTGAGTATTAAAGACAGTTATGTGTAAAATTAAAGATAAAGCTCCTTGAGAAAAATTTGTCTTGGATCCTTTCCCATTGCAACTACAAATTTCTTGCTTTTGAATTTTACTTAAAAGTTTTGCTAAGCACATCTTTTTTTAACTACTCAGTAAATTTGCAATATAAATGTGAAAAAACCCCAATTTTTTTCTTTTCTTTTGGGCGGGGTGTCAAGAGTACCTATTGTAACAGGTGAATGGCCATTATTTTATAGGTTTGTGAGCTAGACATCATCTTTAACTTTGAGAAAGCCTACTTTATGTTAGATGAGCTGCTACTGGGTGGAGAGGTTCAGGAAACAAGTAAAAAGAATGTCCTAAAAGCCATCGCTGCACAGGATCTCCTCCAAGAGGTGGGTCATAGTCTACTCACGATACAGCTCAAATTATTAATCTTATTGATTTCCCTTAGGACGTGGGACAAACTCGATTCATATCAGCACATTTCATACCTTTCCAGTCTGCTGATGTTTATATTGCTTAGAATTCTGTCATAATTTAGCTAAAACTGCTCTATAGATTGTTCATATATGTAAGTTTCATACAAATGTTGATTAATTGGTAGATCACAATCTTATAATAGCCATAGTACACATCACTGATCTTGTTCTTGAGAAAGTCAGTTTTCATGTCAGTTATCTGCAATAATTCAATGTTAATTAAATATTAAAAGAGTTGGACACAATCCATTAAAAAAATAATAGTTTGACTCTACAGATCTCCTACAAAACTGTGAGATTCTAATTAATGCCATAATTAATAAATATTAGGCTCATAAAACAGATTTATAAATCTTCAAATAGTAGCTAGTGTCATTTTATTGATCACCACAGCAGTCAGACCAGAGATGGGTTTGTTTTATCTTGTTGCACTCCAAAGATATCCAAACATTACATGAACCTCATAAGAATATCACTAACTTCAATCTTTTCAGCTGGCTTTAATTTCATGTTTTTATCAGTAAATTGTAAATATTTCTTTACATTAGCACATTTTAGTCTTTTAAGACTCTTGTCTACATCAGCATACTGCAAACATGTCAACATGCAGTTTTCAAATATACAATCTAAACATGAAGTGCACTCTATATATTTCTAGTAACACATTGGCATGAATTGTGCAATTAATCACGAATCAGTTCCCATGTATTAGAAAATTATATATCTTTTCATCATGTAAAGTTAGTTTTTAGTGACAAATGTCAAGTTTTTGCAGCTGACCTCTTCATCTTGTGATTTTCTGATCATCAATAACAACTTATAGGGAAAAGTTAAGAATTCGTATCCCCAAAACAAAGGTTACACATGTAATGTCTGAATCACTATTGTCATTTCATTGGAGGAATGCAGTGCTAAATCTGGAATTAAATGATTATTATCTAAAACAGATTTCATATACTGTACTTTAACATTATACAAACATACATATTGCATGTGTGTTATTGTAACAAGTGCATGTTTGATTGTATTTAACCACAGTTACATGATATGATTAGTTTTAAATACTGTTATTTATGCTTTTAACCAGTTATTATCAACAGATTTTTTAAAATTTGAAATATTTTCAAATACTTTTTTATAGAAATGTTTGCTTTATAATAAAGGAAGGTATTTATGATACAACTTTAATCCAACAAGAGTACTTAAGATTAATATTTATAGCTTATATATAGTCACAATGAAATACAATGTAAATAAAACCCTTTTTTTACTTCAAAGGTTTATATGGAAAATAATTCATGGATACCCATTTGAATTACGAGCATGCATGCTTACAACAGTAGGTGATGTAAAAAAAAAAAAAAAAAAAAAAAAAAAAGAAGGTCCCCCACCGTAACTGCTAGGTCCCCCATGTATCAGTGTTCCTGCTAGGTGCTAGTGTCATCTCTCTGCACATACCCCACAGAAAACTGCTTATAGTGAGTTTATAGTCTGAGGTACACATGTCGACCCAAAATTCAAAATTTGGAAAATATCAGGGTAAGCGGGGGGGGGGGGGGGGGGGGGGGGGGGGGGGGGGGGGGCAAGTGATTGGAATTTTCTTCTTTAAAAAATTAGGATGTAAAATATAGTACATACAGTACAGTACTTTGTATATAAACTGAACAAGCTAGTACACAGCCTTAACTCACTTTGGACTCAATTTTATGAAGGAGACTGCAAGAAAAAGGGTGTATTTTAATATTACTAAAACAAAGTTTTAGAAATAGCTCTATCAATAACATATTTTAAAAAAATCTGTATACAGTGATGCATGTTATTCTATTTAATAGTGAAATGTAAAACTGATTTTCTTGTAAGGTTGATGAATTTCTAGATGATGGTAAGTCAAAGTGATACTATAGCTGTGAGCTATATAACTACAAATGATAGTCAGGAAGAAAATAATTCTGTATATTACTTATAACAAATAACATGTCACAACAGTAGCTAATGAATAACTCAGAATTCTAGACCTTCATGGTAGATTTAATGAGGAAAAGATGACAGAATTTTATTGCATTCACTAAACTGGTGATTGCTAAAGAGGTCCATATATTTCTTCAAGACTTAAGCAAGCTTTAAGATGCATTTGTGATAATTTAAAATACAATACTCAATAATTAAGTCAAAGCTTTCTCCAAAACTACAGCTGTTCTTTTCAATAAACTTCTGTAAACAACTCTACAGTTTTGATTTCTAATGTATTGCCATAGATGGGTCTAATGTGTGTGTGTGTGTGGGGGGGGGGGGGGGGGGGGTGTGTCAGGGTTGTCAAGGTCCACCCTTGATGGGACTAGGTATGATTTGATTCTTTACCATGAAATCAAGTAATTTTGAGTTATTTGATTCATTTCTACGACAAATACACTGTCAGTAAATGGAAATATTAAAACTAGCTTACTCTTATACTATGAAATAAAAAGATATGGAAGCATGGTCTCTGTCCTGACCAGTATGGCTATGAGAATGTGTTGTCAAAATTAAGACCATCATATAAGAGACAGTGATATTTTTATTTACAGCTAAATATTATGTTCTTTATCAATCAAATATATTATGTATATTTTGTATTTATAAAGGATGAGGCTTTTGAAACAGCCCTGAAAGAGCATGGTCTCTACTAGTGACAAGAAAAAAAAAACGGTAGAATTTTATGTCATCACTTTTTTCCTGCAGTCTCTTTGCATGATAATGGCGTCTGGCTGTGACTTTAGTCCCCGGTCTTGTGTTCTTTCTCACTCCAGACAGGATGCCAAATCCATAGACATTGTCTGTGTTAAAGTGTTGAGAAAATTGGTCACATCTTCTAATCATTTCAGGAAGCTAGAAAATAAAGATAAGAAATCAAATGCTTGATTACACTCATATCTTGAAACAAAAGCATTCTTCTCTCTTAATGTGCATGTGCTTCTTGAATTAACAGTTATTAATATTGTAATAATATTATATGGAATATTGCTTCTAAGTGTAAGCTTCTATATGCATATAAAAGGCAAAATTTGTCATAGCTCTTATTATAACAGGATTTGATCACCAGAAATTACATGACTGTTGTAATGAAACACTCTTTGTATGTCAGTATGAACTCTGATATAATCATTATTTCTGATGCATGTTGTCATGTTTTGTACCTTTGTTGTTTATTATTTCACCTGGGTGACACAGGTGACCTGTTGCTATCTTTTTTATTCTTCATAGATCACAGACCATAATTTTTTCGTATTTTCATCTTCTCTAGATCCACTTAGTCAATTTCAACTAAACTTGCCAAAAGCATCTTTGAAAGTGGGTATTCAGATAGTTGAAATGAAGGTCCAGACCCTTTTCCAAAAGGAGATTATTTAGAGTAAAGCAAAGGGGGGGGGGGTTGTCTTGATGTTGCAGTTACAAGGATTTAAAAGAATGTAACAGGAAAGGAGAAAATTTATGGCTGGACCAGGATCATGGAAACAGGGACTTCTGCATTACCAGTCAGGTGCTTGAACCACCCAGGCTGAGACCCCCTATCCACACAACCCAAACAACTTATCTTCAAATCCTGGTCATGGCATCAAATGTAACTGGAAAAAAAACTTTATGGCTGGACAGGGAATCAAACCTGATACACTTGCATTACTAGTCAGGTGCTCTAACCACTGAGCTATCCTGGATGATATCTATGGTCCACATAGCGGAAACCACTACAAAAAAGAATTTTATTAAGAAAATATCCTCATGTAGTGTAATTTCAAATAGCCCGGTTACCCTTAGTCCAGTTGGAGATGCACTGGGAAGTCTCTTCAACTGAAAAAGATGGAAAGAAAAAAAAGAGCTCATTAATTGGCTCAGATATACTTAGGTGACAGTTTAGGTTCTTGGGCCTTCTATTTTATGAATTTGTATTACTGTATGTTTTTATTTATGTCTTTTTATTACGCTTTAAACCTCATTTCACCATGTGAAACACTTAAGATACATGTAACATAACAAACAAGATATATTCCATAACTTATAATTTCAGATAGAGAAGTTAAGAGTATCATTTTAGCCAAAGAAGTTAAGAATCATTGTCATTAATATAAAAATAAATGAGAATTTGTTAAAAATTAAAGGACCATTACCAGAAATGTTGTTATAATAAAAATTAATCAGAATTTTAAATTTCTAACCAGATATTGTCTGCTGTATCCTTGTACTTTTGACCTGATTTTGTAAGATGTGATTGATTTCATGAACTCAAGACTATCTTACCTACACATCCTTAATTTTACAACTTTTAAATGAACAACAAATATCAATAACAATATACAAATTAATATCTCTCTATGGCTTTTGACAACCACTCACTATTTGTTATGAATGAATTACAAATTTGTACAAATATGAAACTATATTTTTGATAAACACTTTACATACATAACAAGCGACATTTTATAAAAGAATAATGTAAGTACCATCTCTAGTCTGGCTCGTACAACTGTCCTCCCGTCACCCATAGCTGACACTTTTTGATTACGGTACATTCGTTGTTATAGTTACAGATGTCTTAGTAGGACGTACAGCTAATTTAATTACATTCCTCATCCTCAGAACATTCCTCATCCTCAGAACGTCCCGAGTTTGTGATCAGCAATTTAATCGTTAGTACTGCCTGTAACTGTTATACAAATGTGCAATATTTGATTAATCTTACTGATTATATCCTTCATATCATTGCAGTTCTTAGTCCATTTCCTTGCATTTAATATAGATTGATTGTCACATAGATTACAGTTTGTATTTTGATATCCCATGTATTCATTACATTATTAAGAATTATTACATAGGACATTTCAAAACACTTCTTGTTTTTAATATTTGGAAAATTCCAAATGAAATCCCTTATTTAATTAACAGCAGTATTCTCTTTTCCCATTGTAGTGAATCAAAGTATTATCTACCATATCATGCTTTTGTCCTACTAGTACGAATTCCATATGTCTTTAATGAAATTGATTACATATATGTCCTCTTAATGTAATTGATTACACTTATGTCCTCTTAATGTAATTGATTACATATATGTCCTTAATGTAATTGATTACATATATGTCCTCTTAATGTAATTGATTACATATATGTCCTCTTTCTTTCCGTGAAGAAATGGAATATAGTGCTGTGATTACATCTCCTTTTGTCTCCAAAGTGATATATGATAGTATTAAACATTATAGTCTCCTAACTTCTAAATGAAATTGAACATGTTAATTGTCATATCCAATGTCCCCTTTTTGTCCTGTAATTTATTACATTTATTATATATGATATCCTTGTTATGTCCTATATATAGCAATTACATTACTACATACAGTGTCCTCCTTTTGTTCCTGAATGTAAATAATCACAGATTTATATATGACTCCTCCTTTTGTCCTGAATGTAGTTGATAACAAATTTATATATGATGTCCTCCTTTTGTCCCTAGGAAGAGACTCCTCAGGGCTTCTTTGAGGACCATGGTCTCGGTTGATTGAGCAGCTGCATGCGCATGACAATGGTAGTCAAGTGGAGGCAGAGAAATTTAACGGTTATGGACAATTTACTAACATTACACCTGCTTCTGGTTTACTTTGTATCGCATTATCATCCATGACCTTGCCCATTACCTTTGTAATAATTCTGTATATTCTGTGTGTGGTAAACGTAACAATTAAATTAGTTAACCTAAGTTACAAAATGGCATAAGGATTTATAGTTAAAATGAAGACAATTTTAGAAGCATGAATTGTACAATACAATACAGAACTTTGTCGGTGCATGTTATTGTAAGGATGTTTCCTGTGAAAAAAAAGAATTCCTAAATAAATGTATGTTACAATGATAAAAAAAGAAGGTGGTGCTTATAATGATTTTTTCCACATCAGGTAGTGCTAATATATTTCTAAGTAACTATATTATCTGTTGAAAAATAACATTTACCATGAAAGTGAATGGAGAAAAATTGGCTGTGAACTAAAACATGTTAAAGGTGCACTCTAATAATGCTACACTGTACTTCTCTCTTTTATATCAGTGACTTCTGCTCCAGCAATCACTAAAATTGAAAATCTGTGTTTAGGGCCATCATTGCTTTTTACTACTGCACCAGCTAGACAAGTCATCACACTGGTAAATGGTCTCTATAGTAACATCAATTGACAAGAGTTCACTTTCATTGTAAATGTTCTCCAGGTTTTTATGTAAAATACTGATGTCAAATTGCTATTGTGAAATTATAAATAAATAATAAATATTTATTCTTGAATTGTATTTTTGGTACTTGAGGGTGTTGATACATGTACATATATACAGTCAAATCCTGTTATGTGAGAGTGATGATATACTGTATACAGGGAAATTTTTGCCCCAGTCATTTTATTTTTGTCCCCTTAACAAGTTGGTGACTGAAAATGGGTCAGATTCAAAGAAATCAGAGTACCAATAACCTGTTGAACATAACTCTGTCTGGGTGAATTTAAAACGGGGCAGAATTGTTTGCATGTGGGATAGAAAAAAAATTTAAAAGGGGGTGAAAATAACCCTGTATACAGTATGAACAGTAAAACCTTATTATGCAGACTGAAGATGTCTGTGAGCTTTCACCTTGGATTGTAATAATTTAAAATATAAATATGCTCAATCCCTTTTATGTGAAAGTAATGATACAATTACATGCATTTCAAACCTTATATGGTACAATTTGCTTACAATAATACATGTAGTTTATTCATCAAAAAATTGTAATAAGCAACCTATGATAAAAACCAAGGTTGGTCTTCAAACAACTTGGAGGAAATGTCATGTTTGTGTATTCTCTTATTCATGCTTATTTCTTTTTTTTAAGATTTCCTTAAATGACAAACAATGTATCAGTTTTTTATTCATAATTTGAAAAAAATAATGGATACAAAACTTCTCTTAAATAAAGTATGGTGTACACTTTATTAACTACATGTATTATAATAAGGAAAGGAATTTACAATGAATTATTAAAAAATATGGTTTCATGTTTCAAAAATCTACTATAATAAATGAAGTATTAAACCCATTAAATAATAAGCAAATTGTACTTTACCCTATACACCTTTCTATTTAAAAAAGTCACAAATATGCACTCGAACTTCATTCAAACTTTATTGTGTTTAATGATAAGTGCATTTTTGTTTATACATGTATGAGATAAAGATTTCCTAGTTTTGTAAACCTTTTGTCATAATCAAATGACAAACAATATGTTTCAGTAGATTATCAAGTCTAACACCAACATCTGTAAAATTGCAGAAATGCATATATCACAACCTAGTGAATGTTTAAGGAAAATTCATGTTAATGTGTGAAAGAAGTTATTGTTTCACTTGTTTAAACAAAGACTGGTGTGCCCATTTTTGGTTCAACTACCGTATGAAAAATAAAGATGTCTATTGAATAATTATTGTATTTTCTGACTATAATTAATACCTTATGAGGATAGGTGGTGAATGGTTTAGCTAATATTAAGCAACATGTGTTTAGATTGTGAGAAAACTGTAGAAAAAGTGCTCTTGATTTGAGAGATGGTGTCTACTGTACAGTGATTAATTTGTAGGCAATTTTTTAACAATATTAATGCAGTTGAACTTCAGTATCTCGAACACTGATATCTCAAGTATAATGGATATGTTGGAAGTAATTTGGAAATCCCAACCACTTATTCTTTAGGAATTTTACCCTCATTATCTCGAATTCTCTGATATCTTAATTTTTTCACAGTGCCATCGATTTTCGAGATAGAGGTTTAACTGTATATATATTATATATAATGAAAAGATAATTCAACAAAGAAAAACAACATTTGTTTATTCAGTGAAAGCTGAATGAAGTTTCAGAATTGTTTTTGCTTGAAGAAAAGGTATGGAGTGCCAAGTTACCATCATCATTATTCAGTTATTGTATGCAACATTAAATTAATGTGTATATAAAAATTTTGATTGGTCTCGTCAATCCAATATATGCCTGCATCAATTCAGTTGATGTGGTTAAATTATTAGGGCCCCGCAAGGATTTGCGGGTGCCCTATAGTAATCACTCTGTCTGTCCGTCTGTCATTCTTCCATCCACAAATTTTCTGTTTTTTTCTAGTAACTTTTTTTGTAGTTGACCAATTAAGTTCAAATTTGGTATGTTGGTTGAAGAGGCAGTAAGACATATTTTGATGCTAAGTTTGGTTCTCTATATCATCCAGTTTGGAGCTGGGGTGGTGGGGTAGATTCCTTAACTTTACATTAGAATGAATGCCAGGGCAAAGAGAGATAACTGCTGAGAATGTTCCTATTGTAAACTATGAAAGCTGCAACTAGTCCCATGGGATTAATTAACTTTCCTCTTGAAGAAAATCCAAAGCATTATCTGTTTCTGTCAAATTGAGATTAATTAACACCTCTGTCTGCAAATGAAGTTTGTTTTGAAGTTAAGGTCAATTCTGAAATGAAATCAGACATAGACCAAGCAATAAATTCCAGTGAAAACCCAGAGAAAATTGTCAACAATATTGTCAATGAACTAAATAAAAATTATATTAATGCAGCTAAACAAGTTTTAGGAGTAATTAAAGTGAACAAAAATAAAACGACTAAAAGCATTCATAAAAATAATAAGCCATGGTTTTCTACAGCTTGTCACAAAGCGAGAAAAAAATACCGAAATAGCAAAGTTTATTATTTCAGGAAACGTTCGCAAAATGCTAAAGAAAATTATAAAAACAAAGAAAAGGCTTATAAAAAAGTGTTAGACAGAGAAATAAATAAGTATAGTGAAGAAATGAGTAAAAAGTTACAAAATATGCAACTCAAAACTCCCAGACAATATTGGAAGATATTGAATAAAAACAATAAACAAAAAAATGCAGATCAAATCGATATTGAAAAATTATTTAGCTATTTCAATGAGTTAAATAAGGCACCTGAAATACCAGAGAATATAGAAAAGATGCTAGATAATGAAATTAAAACACTAGAAATAGAAGAATTGAATCATAATCTAAACAAATACATTTCGCAAGATGAAATACTTAGTGCTGTAAAAAAATTAAAAAACAACAAAGCTTCAGGCGAGGATAAAATAAGAAATGAATATATAAAATCATCAATACAAATTATGCTCCCACTTTTCGAAAAATTGTTTAATTTAGCTTTTTCAACAGGTAAATTACCCGAATGTTGGCTTGAAGGAAATATTCTTCCAATATATAAAAACAAGGGAGAGAAAAACAATCCGCAAAATTATAGACCTATAACAATTTTAAGCTGTATTGGAAAACTTTTTACATCCATATTAAATGATAGATTAAACGATTTTTCAAACGAATATGAAATATTGCAGGAAAATAAAACTGGTTTTAGAAAACAATATTCAACTGTTGGTCATATATTTTCCATACATATTATATCAGAATTATTGAAACTAAATAAAAAAAAACTTTTTTGTGCTTTCATAGACTTCGAGAAAGCATTTGATAATGTATGGCGAAAAGCTCTTTGGTTTAAATTGTGTGCAAACAATATTTATGGAAATATGTACAATGTTATTACGAATACTGTATGTATAATCAAATCAAATCAAGGATAGTTTATGATAATAACGTTACTGATTTTTTTAATTGTGAAAATGGTGTCAGACAAGGTGAAAACTTGTCATCTTTTTTATTTTCAATTTATCTAAATGACCTGCAGAATTTTTTCCAACAAAATATGTCAATTGGTTTACCTACTATATCTGTTATGTTTGAACAACATTTAAATGTGTATTTGACATTATTTGCACTATTATATGCCGATGACACCATATTGATAGCTGAATCTGCCGAGCACTTACAAGCAAAAATTAATTGTTTTGAAAAATATTGCAGAAAATGGAATTTGAAGATTAATATTAACAAAACAAAAGTTTTGATAATAAGTAAAGGAAAGAAAAAAGAAAAGCCTGAGTTTAAATACGGCGAACAGCTGATTGAAGTTGTAAATGAAATTAATTATTTGGGTATTTTATTTAGTACGTCAGGTTCATTCAAGGAAGCAAAGCAGAAACAAGTTGACAAAGCAAATAAAGCAATATTTGAAATTCTTAAGAAAGGCCGCTTACATAATCTATCAATACGATGTCAGTTAGACCTGTTCGATAAAATTGTTCAGCCTATATTGTTGTACGGATGTGAAGTATGGGGATTTTCGAACAATGCAATTGTAGACAGAGTACATCTAAAATTTTGTAAATTACTTCTTAACCTTAAACAATCTACTCCGGACTGTATGGTGTATGGTGAACTCGGTCGACATCCCATGTCCATTGAAATACAAACGCGTATTATTTCCTATTGGTGTAAACTTAAACTTGGAAAAGAAACAAAAATATCAAGTCTGCTGTTTAAATTAAGTGATACCGTAAATCAAAAGACTAAGAAGATTACTTGGATAAATAATGTCTTAAATATCTTAAACGATTGTGGACTTTCAAATATTTGGAACAGTCAAGCCTTCAATCCAAATTGGTTAAGAGCGAAAGTAAAACTAACTTTAATAGATCAATTTAAACAAAAATGGAATTCGGATGTTCAAAATTTATCAAAGACCCTAAATTATAGAATATACAAAGACGAACTAAAATTTGAAAAATATTTAGAAATTCTATCACGAAAAGAAGCCATAAATTTCTGCAAATTCCGTACTTGTAATCATTATTTGCCAATTGAAACTGGACGTTGGTTAAATGAGCCAAGAGAGATTAGACTATGTAAGAAATGTCAATTAAATGAAATAGGAGATGAATTCCATTACATATTAAATTGTACGGCAATGACACGTGAAAGAAATAAATGCTTAACACAAAAACAATTACGATTCAAAAATACAATTACATTTAGAGAAATAATGAATTCAGATAAACAGTCATTTTTAAGAAAACTGTGTATATTTATTAAAAAAAATTACTAAAACGTGCTCCCCAAACTAGTAAAGACCTAAACCTATAATTGTACTATTTGTCTATCCTCATACTCACGCATGCCATATATGTGTTTTTATTTTTCATCATTGTAGTTTACATTTATATCTCACTATACAATTGTAAAATTGTGAAGAGATCAATAAATTCAGTTCAGAATGATGTTTTCATTCTCAATGTGGATTTAAATAATGTTCATACTTTATTTTGGTAAAATATACAATGAGTTATGATTTTATTGAATTCTAAAAACAAGATAAACATAAAGATATGTTTTTTTTTA